GGCCCCCCCCCCCCGGTGCTCCAGAGTGCTGCGGTGTCTCCCAACCCCTGCAGAGACCTCCAGTCTGGAGTCATCAGCCTTTCATAGCATTGTATGGTCTGTACATGAGAGAACACTAAGCCCAGAACATCACACACCTCACCGTACCGCAAGTTAGGGGGATCACAAGGAATTAATAAACCAAAAGTGATTGTGCAGCTGCTATGAGGCCCAGGGAGGTGTGGTGGTCTGGACTTTCAGTGACCCTCCCTGTTACAAGGGCTTTTGTCACGCCTGTATGGATAATGGTCACGTGGATCACAGCTGCGGAGGCTTCTCAGGTCTGGTACCCTGGTTTCACTCTCTATGTGAACTGAGAGTTAGGGTACCTTGCATCACAGCCTCAGGGTTAGTAATAGAGTGGCAAGGGTTAACGTTAAGTGTGCTATTGGATGAGCAATGGATAACTTCAAGGGTTAATGCTTTTGCAGGATCTAGAAGGTTATCTACAACAGTAGCAGTGAACAGTCCCCCAGTATAGTAGTTCAACTTGCAGTATATACTCAGAGACAGTTTGAATGTTTATGGTGTGCAACTTCACCAACAGAGCCCCCAGACCCATCCACAGCCCCTAGAGCGCTTCAAAGCCCCCTATATATTTTTTTCTCACTGACATCAGGACATTTTTCCTCCTATTGACCACTATGCAAGAGCGTTCTTCCTCCTATGATCACCAAACACCAGGCTATTATCATTCCCACTGGCCACCGACACTGGGGCACGCTTTCCACTCACCACCGACACAGGGGCGTTCCACTTTCCATTCACCGCAGACATCAAGGCATTTCTTCCTCCTGCCGGAGGTATTTTGTTTCCTAATATTGACCTTTAAAGCCTTTTGCGCTCATCACCAATGTGTGCCAGGGGAGTGTTTGCACTAGCTACTAATGTATGACTTGCCTGTAATTGTTCTGCTTACCAAAGCATAACAGGACACACCATGACCACCAATATATAACAGGACACACCATGACCACCAATATATAACAGGACACACCATGACCACCAATATATAACAGGACACACCAGGGATCCCAACCTGAAAGAATCAGTTTCAGGGAGGTGTCCCTCTCATTTCAGGGAGGTGCCCTCCCCCTCCCCCCATCCGCGGAGGGGGGGGGTTAGAGGGGACTGGGAGAGAGCACCCCCCTGAAATGATGGCAGATAGCACAGTAAGCAATAGCTTCTTTGCTATCTACAGGTTTTTTTTTCTGATTTTTTTTTTTTTAGTATTCTGACAGTTGCAGTCATCAGAATAATAAAAAAAAGGCATAAGAATGCATAGCTAGATTCCTATTGGCTATTGCACTTTGCAATAGCCAATAGTAAATTAGCTAATGCACCCGCCCTCTGCTGCTTTCAATCCCCAGAAGAGGACCTGATAGAAAAATTCAGGTCCCCCTCTGCTGATTGACAGCAGCAGTGGGCAGGTGCATTAGCTAGTTTGCTATTGCAAAGTGCAATAGCCAATAGGAATCCAGCTACTGTATGCATTTTATGCCTTTTTTTTCCTCTTTTCTGACTGACGGTCGGGCCGCGGCTCCCGATGTCAGAAAAGAAAAAAAAAAACGATCGCAGGGAAAGGTTTATCTGCTCGATCAAGCAGATAGACCTTTCCGGGAGGAAGGGTTTCTCTCCCGGGCGGCCGGGAGCTGCTATCTAATAGCGGGAGACTCCCGGAGCGTCCGGGAGAGTTGGGATGTCTGGGACTCCATGACCACCAATATATAACAGGACACACCATGACCACCAATATATAACGGGACACCATGACCACCAATTTATAACATGGGATACCATGACCACCAATATATAACGGGACACCATGACCACCAATTTATAACATGGGATACCATGACCACCAACATATAACCTGGGCACACCATGACCACCAACATATAACCTGGACACACCATGACCACCAATATATAACAGGACACACCATGACCACCAATATATAACGGGACACCATGACCACCAATTTATAACATGGGATACCATGACCACCAACATATAACCTGGGCACACCATGACCACCAACATATAACCTGGGCACACCATGACCACCAACATATAACCTGGGCACACCATGACCACCAATATATAACAGGGGACACCATGAACACCAATATATAACAGGGGACACCATGACCACCAATATATAACAGGGAACACCATGATCACCAATTTATAACAGGGGACATCATCACTATGACCACTAATATATAAAAGGGGACACCATGCCCAGCAATATATAACAGGGGACCCAATGAGCACCAGTAAATAACAGGGGATACCATGACAACCCACCGCCCCTAGCAACCTCTGCTTTATTTGACTTACAGCAGAATGCATCAAATGCACTAAAATGTGCAACAATGCTCATTAAAAACACAAACAATCTCAGGAACATTCAGATGCAATAGTATGTGTGAGTCTAAGGCTTCTTTATGGAGAATTAAGTCACCTTGAAAGGTTTGTATTTTTTATATTTGTAATCAATTTTACTGCAATGTTTCTAGTCAGATTTATTTTTTTTCTTCTCCTTTGTATTGTTTTCTCCTGCATGTGCTATAACGAGCAGAGAGCAGTGCGCAGGCTTAGAAGTCACCTGTCACCAGCCCCGCAGAACTCAGTGGAAAGATTGCCCTTAGTAAAGATGGCTACCTAAAGGTAATGCAGGAGATTCAAGATGGCTGCCGCAACCCAGCCACGGGTTTGCCCTGAATAAAAATGGCCACCACGTTTTAGTTTCAACACCGCCCTCAGTAGAGATGGCTGCCCAGCGGAAGTGCCGCTCGCCTCCGCCCGGAATAAAGATGACGGCGGGGAGGGACTGCGCATGTCCGGACCTCCATGGCTAGACGGACCGGAGAGCGGCGGAGAAAGAGAGCGGGTAACGGGGCATATGTGGCGAGGGGAGGGGCCCATAAAGGGGAGGGGCCTGGTTACCGTGGTAAGAGGTGAGGGCATGAAGCCATCACCTGGGGGGAGAGGGAGCGCCGAGGAGAGGGGAGTCTTCCTTTAAAGGGTTTGCTCTTGTATTGTTCCCACCCA